GCTTGCATGATCTAATGAAGTGCTTTGGATTTGGTGTGGAAACATTACAGGAAAAGAAAGTCTGTGCTTTGAAATGGAAGTGGGGTCTACTGCTGAGATTTGTTATATTTGCCCTGATCTTTCTTATGTGTTTATCAGTAGGCATTTGGTATAGTCTGTGACAAGATAAAGCTTTAGAATCAGTTTGTAATAGATAAGGCAGACTTTGTGGGATGTCTTGTGAATAGTTAAGTAAGATATTGTGATTTGTAAATTACAAACTGATTTCTTTCCTAGTTTTAAAAAAGTTGATGTTCTGTTCTCAATTTATCTGCTCAACCTGCTCTCTATTCTTCCAGAAAGAGTCCATATTCTTCTGACAGTGCACTGTTGGTTCATTGTTTTTACAAGTAGGACTGGCAAGCTGATGTTATTACTGTTGCCTTTTAACTTTAGCCGAGCTTTTTAAACCAAATTTGTTTTCAAGTTTTGCAGTTACTATTTCTATTTATAATTATTAAAAAAAATTTTTAAATACCTATTTGGTTTTTGAAGGATGAGCAGTGCTCATTGCATTAGTTGGTTCTACATTGCTGTACGACAAATTACCCCAAAGCACAATGGCTTAAAACAGACATGTATTGTCTCATGGTTTCTGAGGATCAGGTGTCCTGGGGCAGCTTAGGGGGATGTTTCTGCCTCAGGGTCTCTCATGAAGTTGTAATCAAGCTTTCAGCTAGGGCTGCATCATTGAAGTCTTGACTGGGGCTGGAGGAACCAGTTCCAAGAAGGCTCACTCACATGGCTGTTGGCTAGAAGTCTCAATTCCTTGCTGTGTGGATCTCTCCACAGGGCTGCCTGAGTGTTTCAAGACATGGCAGCTGTCTTCCTCCAGAATGGGTGATGAGAGAGACACCTAAGCTGGAAGCCACAGTCTTTTATAACCTGGTCTTAGAAGAGATAGTCCATCCTTTTTTGCCCTCATCATACACTGTGGGAGCATACTATACAGGCAGGGTGTGAATACCAGGAGGTGGAAATCATTGGGGGCATCATCTTGGAGGCTGCCTTTCACACTTATTTAGGTGTTGTAATTAATACTCATTGGAGAATTACACAGAAAGGTAAGAGCTGGCTTTTGGGAGGCACAATGAAAGATATGATTTGAAAAAAGGAACTTCTTAGGGAATATTTTTGTTAAATGTGTACTTAAAGTATTTTTAAAAATGAGATTCTTTTTATATATGGCAAATAAGGGATGTTTTGGGGGAACAGAGCAGTTTTTCTGTCAATGTTAGGTCTTAATCAGCTTGCATTTTTTTTGTTTCTCTGTGTAAGTGATAATTGTATATGTTTAAAAAAATTTTTTTTACAAATTTTTTTTACCATTTATCTACATCCATATAGATACACCATATAATTCTAAATTTAATCTTGTAGTTCCCCACCGTGGTGATTATTTACTTAAGGTAGCATGAGGAGTTTTTGTTTTGAGAACTTGCCATATAGCATACTTAGAATACATGGAAACAAATATGATTTTTTGTGAAGTTCGAGTCCACTAGGGATCTTGGACTCTTAACAAGAGTATCCCCATTTTTCTCAGCTCTTTGTATAGGATTATGTAAGAAAGTGGCATTGCTGTTAAGCTATTAGCCTCTAGATGAACTGGAGATAATCTTGGCTTTTGCTCAAAGAGAATAAGAAAGAGGTCAAGAAAACATTTCATACTCCAAATTAAGATTTTTGAATAAAGATATTTAGGTGCCTTAGTTGAAACAGTAAAAGAGGAATAAAGGAATAACTAGACCTGGAAGAGGAGAGGAACAGGATGAGGATATGAAATGTGCATTGAGTCAGGAAGAGTGAGTGATCTCTAATAAGCTAAGAGCTTCTATATCCTGGCCCTGGATAAGTAAATGAAGCTTTGTTACAATCAGTTACTTTACCAATATGGAAAGAATCTAATTATAGCAGTATATTCCAGCAAGCTTAATTACGATTCTTTAGAGTTAATGGGAATGTTGGAGTAGCCCTATAACTAGGGATTACTGCCTAGAAAACAGATAATATAAATAGGAGTTTTTTCTTCCATTACAAAATGGACATATTCTATTTAACAATCTTTAATCATCATTTAACATGTAACTTGAGGTCCAGAGTTATTTGTGACATAAAACAACGACTGTTCCATTATTTCTCATGATTTTGTGGATCAGGAATATAGGCAGGGCTCAGCTGGGTGATTCGTCTCTTTCACGTGGTATCTATGGGGGTCACTCGGTAATCGGCTGGCAGATGAGCTGGTCACAGAGTCCAAGATGGCTTCACTCACTTGTCTGGCACTTTGTTGGACATGGCTGGAAGGCTGGGTTCAACGAGAACTATTGACCAGAGTAGATGCATGTGATCTCACCAGTATGACAGTCTTAAAATGGTCAGGACTTCCAGAGAAAATGTTCCAAGAGAGCTAAGTAGAAGCTGTAAGACTTTGTTATCAGTTTCCCATTGTTGCTGTAACAAATTGCCACAAATATAGTGCCTGAAAACAACACAAATTTATTCTCTTAGAGTTCTGGAAGTGTG